TGATTGGCTTACTGCCTTTCCCAGCAGTCTAGTCATGATTACAGAAAGCAGATTAGTGTTCATAAAAAAAAGGAAGACAGAACAGGTTTTACAGTTTTGGTTATCACACCATTTTTTTTAAATCATTGCCTTCTGATCATATTTCTGGCCTCTCCTTCACCCTGGTGGTTGTGAAATAATTTTAGTTCCTGAATTGCCACTGAATTACTCACAATATCACAGAAGCAACCAAAATTTTCAAAGGGAGATCAGTAACTGCATCTCCATATTTCTCATAAGTACAGATATCTTAATACGGGTGATACAGAACACTACTACAGCCAGATTCATAGGATTTCTTACACTACTTCTGGCTGGGGCTGAAATGTTTTGTAAGTTTCTGCATGTGCAACCTCCCACTCATGCTCCAGTTTGTGTGGGCAAGTTTTGCAGTGGACACAGAGAAAGGTGCTGGGACCAGGATACACGCTGGCCTACTATTTCACATGATCAGATTAAAGTGAATCTGTGTTTTTCCATGCAGGTTAACATTCCTCCTCTGTAGAGTCACAGCTCAGCCTGTCTTTGCAATCCCTAGAGTTCCATTTGGTCAGCAGTAGAAATAGGCAGAACCAGGGGCGGACTGACAGCACATGGGGCCCCCGGGCAATAGGGGATCATGGGGCCCCTGTGTCCTTACCCAAACTCAAAAAAGCCTATGAAAAAAGTACCAGGGGCATCTCATGGGGCCCCCTACTGACCTCGGACCCTCGGACAGTGCCCGAGTTTCCAAATGGTCAGTCCGCCCCTGGACAGAACTGACTGGTATAATGGAGCATGTGGTTCATTCCATTCATCTCCAATGTGACAGTACCGGTGTTTGGTGACTGACCCATCATAGTCACCAAGGGTCAAAAAGAGGGTACTCAACCTTGTGTGTGATTTCTGACAACTTACAGAGTTTTCTGTCTTCACTCCCAGTAGGTGAATGGAATGATGGAGGAACAAGAAAGAAAATGAAACTGTGTGAGAGGGAGGAAATTAGGTGTGCCAGTTGCTTTGCCCTTCATGAGGAAAGGGCCCCTCCAAAGGACTATTAAGAAGATAATAACATGGACAGACTCATCCAATAAAGGCAGCTAGCTGTTAATGAGCGCCATGATGAAAATCAGAGACACCCACAGCAAGCTATAGCCACTGAGACAAGGCATTTTTGTGACCAGCTGGAACTTGGAACCCATCTCTGATAAGGTTGCTAAGAAGAAAATCTATTGTTGTCTATAGCAACTAGTCAAGATCCTTATTTCATTTTCAACTCTATACTTTTGAGATGACAGTTGGAAACGAATTAGCTGCTGTGGGAAACCGCATTTTTCCATTTGTGGTTTAAAACACAATATAATGGAAATATCCACACCAAATAGGGTGTGGGAAGAGTGCAACTTCAACTGTATCTTGCAATTGGAGTCCTAGATGGTAGTAAAGTGAGCCTACTGGCATCTAACCAACAGCTTGATGGCCAGAAACTGGTTAAACATATTGTGCTGATGCTTGCAGAATTTTTCCTATAAGCCCTATTAACTAAATACTTAAGTGAAGGCCAGGGGCAGACTGACAACTCATGGGGCCCCCGGGCAATAGAGGCTCATGGGGCCCCTGTGTCCTTGCCCAAACTCAAAACAGCCTATGAAAAAGGTACCAGGGGCATCTCATGGGGCCCCCTACTGACCCCGGGCCCTCGGGCAGTGCCCAAGTTTCCAAATGGTCAGTCCGCCCCTGGTGAAGGCACTATTTCATTTCAGTAAACAATCTGTTAACATGAAATATATCTCAAGAACTCCTCATAGGAAGCTGAAGTATCTAATGCTTCATCAATATGTCTTGCAGATTTATATTAATAATGAAAAACATAATACAGCAAGTTTTAAATTTGATGTCTTTATGACGAATCACCTATTGCTAACACTGACATCTGTAAGATGCTTTGCATTGCATAAATGAGAAGTCCCCCCATAGTTCCAGTTCAGAGGCAGGTAAGCGGAGTGTTAATCTGACTCACCTTTGTAGTACTATTTGGCAGATCTTAATGTGATTCAATGGCTAAAACCAAAATCGAAAATAAAGCTGTCCCTGCAGAGAAGATCTTACAGTAGTTATCCATCTCTGCCATTGCCCATGTCACCAATATCTGCTGTAAGGAACTGATATTGCAAACTGAATCTTCAGAAACGTACATTTCTGAGAGTATTGGAATTCCTGGTACCCTGCTGAGTCGTTTTAAATCCTACATCATGTTATCCATACTCTATACTCTTCACACCTCCTTTTCTTGGTGTTGGAGTTTCCTCTACATGAGTCCACAGGCAGAAGAAAGGCCATACAGGCTTGAATCAGAATTGAGTGACATTGAATTCTGGACTATAATATCAGCAGGATAGGTGAACAGAGGTGTGCCTTTGTAAACACCAAACACATCGGAAACTGTATTGAGGGAAATGAAGATTTGGAGAGCCGGCTACTCGTCTTCCCAATTGTTTAACTTTATTGCGCGTGTAAGATGTACAGGTAAGATAGCTTATGCATTTTGGCAATAAGCCTTAATCATAGCCAGCGATGGCTATGATTAAGACTTCTTGCAGAAACACGTAAGCTATTTTACCTGTATATCTTACTCAATAAAGTTAAACAATCGGGAAGACGAGGAGCCGACTCTACGAATCTTAATTTTCAAATTGTGCTTGTGTTTGGAGGACACACAGAGCCAGAGCACCACCAGTCTACCTCTGTGAGGAATATATCTAGGCGTAGCACCTTTCTTTTTATTGTACTGAAGGAAACATGGAGGATACCATTGGTGACCTCTCTATTCAGAATTCTGTGACTTCCATGCTGTGCGTCACTGACACATAAAAAGTATGCAAATCAGAAATTCTGACTTTGTTCTGATTACCCTTGCTGCATGCTTGTTCTGGGTCAATCACGTATAAATCTGTGAAATCAGAGATCTCAGGGTAGCTAACATTTTAAAAAGGAGGTCGTGTTTTTCTTTATATAGGTGTACTCTAACCTTACACTCTGGAATTAATACTGATTTAGAAAGATCCATCAGTCATGTTTATATTTACACATCATTCTGGTATTTTAAACTCCCAAAAAAGTTACTAGAATTACATATTAAAGCTGAATTCCATGTACTTGACATTTAGTCCAGTTGTTGATTGTTTAAGGAGGAATAAATGTATTTTAGATACAGCTGCATACATACCTGAATCTATATTGTTATTAGCTTCATGTAATCCTCTGCACAGCAGCACTCTGATAGGTAGAGTAAGGGGCAGCACCATAAGCTAGTCAGCCTCTACTATGTTGCACAAAGCTGTCTGTCTAACCCTGGCTGCATTCTGATGGGAGAACAGTATTGACTTCACCAGTGTGCTAATGCTCCTTCATTCTCCAGTCACATTGTGGAGTAATTGCTAGACCAGGCCATATTGCTTTACTGCAGTGTAGTCTTCAGAAAAGTCTTAGGCCCCTTTCACATCCGATGATCCCATCAGGTCTGCCTGTCATTCTTTCAGGCGGACCTGATTGGATGGTCCATGTTTCTCTATGGATTCCCCTCTACCGTTTACATCCAACCGCCCACAGAGAAGAACAGGCCTTGTCCGTTTCTGCTATACATAAACTGAGTGGACATGAATCTGTTATCCGCCCGCTCTACTCTGATCAGCAGGTAATCAGCAGACAGATCCACCTCGTGAAAGGGGCCTTAAGAACACAGGACTTGGCTGTAATGTCTAATGCCGGCCATAGACGGTTTGAAAATCGGCTGATTTTTCGTCTGAAAGATTAATCGGCCGATTTTTGCACTGTTAGTGGGTTAATTCGTCAGATGGTTTTCGTGTTTTTTCCACTTTTGGATTATTGGTCATGTTGGAAAATGGACCAATTTTCGCATCAATGATGCTCAAATCGTACGATCCTTTATATGGAAAAAATATGCGCATGAGCCGTGATCTGGAAGGTACAGAAGTTTTTCCTGTTATATGGGGTGAACTTTATGACTTGGTCGGACGATTTTCGTAATTGTTGGTGGTTACGTCAGTTTAACGAACGACCAATTTTTTGTTTCGAGCCATCTATGGCCTGCAAAACAGGCATGTCTGGACCACAGAAATGGCTGATCAGAATCATAAAATCACTCATCAAGTCTTTACTCACTCTGTGACTTTAATAGAACCAGTTGATAAAGTTAACCTGTCCATACCTTAAAGGCATTAAAGAAGTCTCATTTTGATTTTTGTTAACATAGTCTGTTCCTCAGTGGTCATAGTACATACTACTTTCTCCTATCTTTTGTCATATCATAATATTTGTCCTATCTTCCTAAGTGCTGCCTAAGGCTAGCTGCAAGGTTGGACAGGGTGCCCCCCTTCCCCCCTAGGACCATTGAAACATGCAACTAGCAAGAAGACACTGCTTTGACGGGCGTCACTTTTCTCCATCTGTAAGCACTTGCTTGTTCGCCTTGAACATTTCAGTGACCCCCACTCCCACCTGCATTACTTGTAAGGAGCTTGTCTTAGAGAAGTGCTTGGGCATGAAGAAAAATGCCGCCTGTCAAAGCAACTGTCTCCTCCTTGCTAGCTCTGTGTTCGGACAGCTGTGGGGGAGGGTGACGCCATATTGGACCTCACAATTAGCCTTGGACAGAACCTAGAAACATGGGGCATACTACTGGTCAGAAGTCAGAAGCTGGTCAAACCTTATACCTATTGAGACCGCTTGTTAAATCATCCAGGGTTTAAGGCAAGCTGAGCTGGTGACCACTGCATGGAAAGGTATGCGCAGGCCTGCACTGAAGTCCTTGAAACCTGTTCAGTACCAGCTAATGATGTGTACTTCCTAAGTGTAACTGAAGAAAAGAAATTAATTTATTAAGACAATACACTTTGGCGACTTGATGTTTTTGCCAATGCTTCTCTTTTACTGTATGCACAAAGCTAAGTAGACACCAATGCCAAGGATTTCTCCGCTAGATTCTTATTAAATGGCATCTTGAAGTTTTCAAAGTCTACTTCATACGTGAAGCGTTCACGTAGGTGTTCTCTTTTTTTCATGAGGTCCGCTGTGCTGGGCTCTGAGACCCAAACCTTGGAAAATAAAAAGAGATGCAGTTTAGAATCAGTGTTTGAAGGATAGGTACAACAAAAACTATTAAACTATTATTTTCAGCTTTAAACAATGACAGTCTCTTAGTTATCAAGAGGATTTGATTGATCTACAAAAAGGTCTCTGAACAGCTCTCTCTCTTTTGAGCTCTGTCCATTCATAAGGGATTTTCAATTTATTTTCATTGTAAGAAAATAGTAAGTAAGAAAAAGCACTTGTTTGGTATCATAAAAGTTATGGTTGATAATAAAACTGGGAATTCACTGCTCACGTTTCTACAGTATTCTCATACAGATATAAGAAGCCCGTAGGAGATTTAGCCAATCGAATCTATTCAAAATTGACCTACTAAATGTAGATAGGCTTAAAGTGAAAATAAATTCAAGACTTGCTATTCTATATGAAATACATACAGTAAAAGGTTAATTTTGCCTCAGCAGTACCCTGAAAAAAATGATGTTTTGTCTTGACTGCGTCTAAATGAAATAGCAGTTCACTTACTGACATGTGACTGTGCCTAGGTATTGATGTTCTGTAGCTCCATAACTATATATCTGCAGTATGAGACCATCTAAAGCACTGCTTCCTCTGACTGTTAGTCTCAACAAAATTGGTGTGAGAATTGGTGATGTCACTACTGTGCTGATCACTGTTCTCCTTGCTGGAGAGAAAGGCATACCTGAAGACCTACAGTACAAGGATCTCTCTGCTTTTGCTTAATTCAGTCTGTGGATGTTTACTTTCTCTGCATCTCCTGCTGCTTCCTTATGATTACCCTACCAGTCATCTTGAAGTAATTCTGATATGAGGCTTTAAAGTACCACTTACACTCTATCAAGATGTCCACTTCCACACAGAGCAGAACAAGCATAGTAAATCAGTAATGAGAAAACATCAGCTGCCTGGAGCTTACAGGCATTACCCTAAGATCTACAAAAGTGTTTTTCCTCATATTCTAATTCTCTACAGGATCCTCTCTGTACAGAGCAGGGAAGCAGGGGAACCACTACTCTGACTTTTTGAGGCTGTTAGAACATGTGCATACAAACTGATGTCTGGTATTAAGACTGTAGCATATTTAGATACAGGCAGATATCCAGTCTTTATAGAGATCGATCAGCGATTATTAGTCCCTGAATAATGGAAAAATGTCCTTTGATATTTCTTACTGTTTTAGGCACAAATGTGATGTCGACTTTCTTTGTTTCTCCCATTGTTATTAGGTGGTTCAGTTGAGCAATAGTACCCTTCTTCTCCCTTTCAGAATGAACCAGTTCTATAGGCTTTGATATCTTGACAAACATAAAAAGTAAAAACATGTATAAAAACCATACGACCAATACATGCAAAAAGTAACATACAAAAAGGAGCTGCTCGGGTAGCCTGTATAGTATGCAGAAATTGTATCTTTTATAGATAAACACTGCTTCATGCTATCTTAGGTATTGCCAGTATTCTATGAAACTGTCAGTTTTTTTCTAGGTTACATCCCTTAAAGTGTTACTAAATCCATGAATCTGCATTCACTATATCCAGTCTCCCACGGTACACAAAATATGGAAAGAATTATTTTAGTGAATATAAACTGCTAAATACCTTTTCTTGTCAGCAGTATATAGCAGTTTTGTGACTTTTATCAGTGTCTAGTCAAGCACTGGTTAATCTTGTTGGAGAAGTTTTCATTCTCCTCTGACTGTCCTATGAGGCTGCATGACCCCTGATCCTCTGTCCAGACAGCGCTGATTGGCCCTGTACTGATCACATACACCTCCCCCCCCCCCAAAAAAAACAACTCTCTAGCAATTCATACCAAAATGAGCATGTGCAGACTTACCACTGCTGCTCTATACTATTGCAGATGGATTGGGGACAGTAAAAGTAGGGGAGGATCAAAGAATATAGGATCAAACAGCCTTTTTACACAATGTGGTGGATTAACCCCTTAGGTTCCACAGTGAGTATAACAAGCATGCTTTACTGCATATACAGACTGATTTTACTGTTGTGGGTTTAGTAACAATTTAAAGTGCCAGGTCACCTTCAAAGAAAAATGTAAAGGTGAACACCGCTTGGCGCTGACCAACCAGAATCCATCTGGTGCATCCTAGAAGCGCTGATGCAGAAGAAAGCGAAGAGCGGGGATTTAAATCCCCGAACCATTGGAGTGGCTGCAGGGGTGCCGACAGCTCGGCACTCTGGAGTAAGTACAGTGGGGACTAGGGGGGAAGGAAGGTGTCCAGGGTTTTGGTCTCTGAAGAACAATTTGTGTGCAGATCGCTCTTCAGAGAGCATATGACAGGTGGTGAGGATGTGTTGTATCCCCCTCCTCACCACCTTCTTTAACCCCTTGAACACCGCACTAGCACACTGCAACTAAATGGGTTGCCCTTGGTGGGCACTACACCTGCCAAAAGCGACAGGCGGTATAATGCCTGTGGCAGCCGAGGCATGTGTGCACCCCCGGACGCTGCCTTTGCAACACACCCTAAAGGATTTGTTTTTTAACAGTTGCAACAGTTGTGCAAAAACCTTTACAACAAATATAGCCTAGTTATCATACCTCTTGCTTAACAGGTGGCGGAACTACAATTGCAGGGGTCTGGGGTTTAGACACCGCTCTTGATTTTCCTTCCATTTTGCCTTTCCCCTTGCTGCTCTTTTTCTCTTTTGGTTTTGGTAAACTGTCCAGTTTGGTTTGAATCAAGTCAATCAATCTGTAGTCAGCATAGGCTTTTGCAACATCAAGAACATTTTGTCCTATGAAAAGGGGAGAGATGGGAGAGATTAGGATTTTATTATCACTTCAAAATGTACTCAATGCACAATAATGAATAGATACTTTCTAGGGTATGGGTACAATCCAGATTCACTGCAATGTATGTCCCCTACTTTGTGCAAAACCTAAAACAAAGCCTTGGTTGGGGTTGGGCTTGAAATAGTATAAAACCCTCTAAAAAAGCAAACTATGTATTTAGATGTGATCAGTATAGTCATTACATACTTTTTCTTTTCTAATAGAATGTTCAAAAACAGATGTTCCAAATATTTTCAGCAGGCACTGCTAATTCCCTCTGTACCTGCACTTCCCTGTCACCTGTAGCTGGGTGCGTGCACACAGTAATCCTCCCATGTCCAAAACCAAACTATATGGCCCATGGTGCATGGCCTTTGATATTCAAATATGCATGCACAAGCAGATGTCACTACCATAGATATTTTTTAGTTTAGGGGAGCCAACCACCATGAGTCCTAGAGCTTGTACAGGTAAAGTGAAATATTACTTCAAAACACCTCACAGGAGTTTCACTGACTAGTAGATAGATGTACGCAACTGGCAGTTTAGGAAGTGACAGTTATTAAACTTGAAAGGACACACTTCCATTTACTTTGTGATCTCAGCAGCTTCTGATAGCTGTGAGTGGGGGAAGCGCAAAGTTACTGCAGTAACATTCCTCTGACCCAACAATTTTGGAGGGGGGGGGGGTTTACTAAAACTGGAGCACTCAGAATCTAGTGCAGCTGTGCATGGTAGCCAATCAGCTTCTAACTTCAGCTTGTTCAGTTAAGCTTTGACAATAAAACCTGGAAGCTGATTGGTTACTATGCAGAGCTGCACCAGATTTTGTACCAGTTTTAGTAATTAACCCCCAAATGTGTTAAAGTAGAATTCCAGGATAAACTTAGCTAGCCTAAAAAATACTACCCCCCCCCACCACAACACCTTTGCTGACTAACCTGTGTAAGGAGGATACTTACCTATTTTCAGCCCACTCCAGTCCAGTCACATGATATGGCTCTCCTGTGTCAGCCAGCGGCAGCTGCAGGGAAGAGGAGAGATCGCTTGGCAATGGCTGATGTCACCCATAGGCTCCTTTGGACCATCTGCTGTTGGCCCTCCCTCCTCTCCCCTGCAGCTGCTGATGACTGACACAGGTGAACTGGATTATGTGACTGGACCAGAGTGGGCAGAAAATAGGTAAATATATACAGTACATCTTTCCTACACAGGTTAATCAGCATACAGTAGGTGTTAGGAGGGGGAGGGAGCATTTATGAGACGAGACAAGAGAGAGAGAGAGAGAGAGAGAGAGAGAGAGAGAGAGAGAAAGACAGCTTTTGTGGAGCTACAAAGGCTGTGCACAGCTGTAGTACATCTAACTATCTACAGGTGAAACTCAAAAAATTAGAATATCGTGCAAAAGTTAATTTATTTCAGTAATGCAACTTAAAAGGTGAAACTAATATATGAGATAGACTCATTACATGCAAAGCAAGATAGTTCAAGCCGTGATTTGTCATAATTGTGATGATTACGGCTTACAGCTCATGAAAACCCCAAATCCACAATCTCAGAAAATTAGAATATTACATGCAATCAATAAAACAAGGATTGTACATAGAACAATGTGTAAAAAGTATAAGCATGCATATGTACTCAGTACTTGGTTTGGGCCCCTTTTGCAGCAATTAGCTTCCATGCCACGCCGCATTGAGGCAGTAATTGCTGCAAAAGGGGCCCAAACCAAGTACTGAGTACATATGCATGCTTATACTTTTCAGAGGTCCGATATTGTTCTATGTACAATCCTTGTTTTATTGATTGCATGTAATATTCTAATTTTCTGAGATTGTGGATTTGGGGTTTTCATGATCTGTAAGCCGTAATCATCACTATTATGACAAATCATGGCTTGAACTATCTTGCTTTGCATGTAATGAGTCTATCTCGTATATTAGTTCCACCTTTTAAGTTGCATTACTGAAATAAATGAACTTTTGCACGATATTCTAATTTTTCGAGTTTCGCCTGTATTGATAAGGGGCCAGTTAAGCTGGCCATACAAGCTGAACTGGTCAAATTTCAATCCATGTATGGGCTAGCTGGTTGCACACAAGTCGATATATTGATGTCACGTTTTTCCCGAACGATCAGTGCCACCAGCTATAGCCAGTAATACTGATCAGTGTATGTGTGGATTGGTTCATTTTTTTTCTTTAATCAACCCACTCGTTGAATGAAAAAGAATGATTGTAGTTAGGCCTTAATGTTAGGGTTACAAGGAAGATATTGTTCTCTGTGTTTAAAGCTCTATATAGAAAATACCAGTGTTGATCTCCCAGCACTAAAAGCACAAAGCACTGTGAATATTCAGTTGGTGATTCTAACAATAACAAGTTGTCGCACCAGATAGCATATGTGAAATGGTTACCTTTCTTGTTCACTATTTGCACTTTAGCTCCACATGTAATTACAAACTGAGCACAGTCTAAGCTGCCACTTTCCACAGCTCTCATCAGTGGAGTGGATCCATTGAGGGCCACTGCATCTATCTTCGCTCCGTGTTTAATTAACAATTCCACTATGTCTTGCTGGCCTGCATGACACGCATGGTGCAATGGAGTCCACATGAAGTTATCACTTGCATTGACATCAGCACTGGAAAATAAACAAAAACATATGATGTATCAGGGTCCAAGTAAAAGTCTCAATATTATAAGAAAAATAAGATGGAAAATCATTTGCTTCTAAACCTGCTGCTAATTTATACTGCATGTGGGCAACTAGATGGAGGCTGCTTAGGTTTCCTAAATCTGTTGCAGGAATATTTGAAAAATTAGCAGAACTTTTAGGGTCCATTCACACTTTAGCAATCCGCTGTGCTGCATTGATACAAGAGCGATAAAACATGTTACTTGTGCTGCATTGAGGCAGCACATTCATTATGAATGGGCTTTCAGAGCACCACAACAGGTCAAAAATGCATGTGACCTTTTTTTTAGCAATGCAGCACACCACAACACACAGTATGGTAGTGTGAGCAACACAATGAATGGAACCACAATGCACTGCACAAAGATCAGGTGCACTGGAGTACTTGTAGGAGCATGTGGTAACCAGGGGCGGACTGACCCTTTGGAAACTCGGGCATTGCCCGAGGGCCCGGGGTCAGTAGGGGGCCCCATGAGCTGCCCCTGGTACCTTTTTCATTGGCTTTTTTGAGTTTGGGCAAGGACACAGGGGCCCCATGATCCCCTATTGCCTGTGGGCCCCATGAGTTGTCAGTCTGCCCCTGGTGGTAACACATGTCTTTTACCACACTTGCTGCAACACAAAATCTTAAGTAATGAGGCTTCTTTTTTTGCTTTGTTTTTAGGGACTGACAAAAAAACATGAGGTAAAATCTAGACTCCAGTCCCTGCTGCTAAGCCTGTATTTATTTAATATTTCTCTTTTTTAACGTTTAGAATGAAATCTGAGGGACAGGTCACTTTAGAAACTGCTTCTGCCAACAATTATCAAGTGCAGGCACATAGAGGTAGACTGAACCCAGATTCCAACCTTCCCCACACACACACATTTCTTTTGGCCTATTGCTATGATGGGCTGCCCCATGCTGGAAGTAGAAGGGGTGAGCAAGCTTCAGGTATTAAGACCATGCATTATGGTACTAAAAGATGTATAAACAGGAGCCAGACGCTGTGTAGTTTTGTGATAAAAATAATACACCTTGTATGGAGGTGTGCCTTTAATAATTCATATGGTAAAAAAATAAATAACTAGCCTGTGGCTTTAGGAAACCAGGTTCCAAGATGGATGGCCCGTCCACTCAGAGGGAAGCAGTGAAGTAGAATGCCTGTCAGTGCAGGGACCACGTGTACCCGACGTCCCAGCGTCCTGGATGACGTCACCACGATGTGGAGAGACGGAGGGGGGGAACTCTTGCTGGAGCCGCAGCTTTAGAAGGAAGAGGCCGGTTGCCAGGACAACATGTTTCGCGCGCATGCGCTTTGTCGGCTCCAGCAAGAGTTCCCCCCCTCCGTCTCTCCACATCGTGGTGACATCATCCAGGACGTTGGGACGTCGGGTACACGTGGTCCCTGCACTGACAGGCATTCTACTCCACTGCTTCCCTCTGAGTGGACGGGCCGTCCATCTTGGAACCTGGCTTCCTAAAGCCACAGGCTGGTTATTTATTTTTTTACCATATGAATTATTAAAGGCACACCTCCATACAACTTAAATCAAGGAATGCGCTATTAATTTTGTAGAAACATTAGTGCAAAAGATATATATATCAAAACAATTAATATCAAAAAATACACAGCGCCTGTCCAATTCTGAATTTAAATGTCCAAATAAATCCTTTCCAAATTCAGGTGCTCTCAAAGAAATTGTGCCAAAATCCACCACCAAAAGTAAAGTGGGTAACTCACCAGAGCTCCATGCTGATCAATCTTAGATCACCATGGCAATGCAGGTGTGATGATCAATAGCTTTCATTCCACCACCAATCATAGTTGACATTATATCACATCTCCCACCGAGGTCATGTTTGGGAATGAAAGAGAAAAATCATCAGTTTGATTTACACTCGACACATCAGCATGTGCAGCAAATGGTTTCTCCTATTCCCCGTCCACTACCGTAGGATTAATTTTCTCCACAAACGTCAGCATCCAGTAAGCTACTGGATGCTGACGTTTGTGGAGAAAAATTAAGTCACGAGCGCTGTAGGAGTGTACGGGGAATAGGAGACTGTTATACCATTTGCTGTTTTATGCTGTTATACTGGTGTCGGTGAAGACACCCTTTTTGTGAGGTAAATCTTTATTAAATTGTTGGATACTTTTATAAAAAAACTGGCTGCACCATGATTTTTCTCTTTCACACCAAAGGAGATATAAAAAGAGGAGAGTGATATAATGCTCCTGGAACCATTATATTGAAGTATACCTACCTTATATGAATGTGTAGCTATTTCATCACACAAGAGCAAAAAGCTGATCTAGAGATTGATCACATGGAGCTCTGGTTTACCCAACTTTACTTTTGGTGGTGGATTTTGGCACAATTTCTTTGAGAGCACCTGAATTTGGAAAGGATTTATTTGGACATTTGAAGAAATTCAGAATGGACATTTTTGTTTTTTTTATTTATTTGCACATAATTTTGATATTTTTTGATATTAATTGATAATAGATATATATATCTTTTGAACTAATGTTTCTACACTAAATTAGGAATAGTTTGTGGTTTTAGCGCATTCCTTGATTTCAGTTATAGCACTAAGAAATTTATTTGGTTTCTTTGAGGTGGAATTGCTTTTAAAGTATTAAGGGTGTGGCGCTTTTATTACACTTGTGACACCTCCATACAAGGTGTATTATTTTTATCACAAAACTACACAGCGCCTGGCTCCTGTTTATACCTCCCACAAACCGATGTGTTTTTACCATGGCAGCAGTGAGTTTTTTCTCCACCAATCATAGTTGACATATACCATTCCCTTATTTCCTTTGCGACACATCTGTGCGCTTTTATCCAGACCGTTCTTCCAGTACTAAAAGATGTGCAGGTATGTGCAAGCATCTTTGGTGCAAGGACAATAGGTGCGCCACACCAAAGGTATAGGAGGCCAAGTAAGTAATATTTATTTCATCAAAGAACTCCAGAGATAACATGCTTGTTCTGCACTACATACCTGTCTGCAGTTTTTTGTTTTCCTAAAGGGATTTTTTAAAATAAACTATGCACGGATTTTTGGATACATCTGCATAAAAATAAAAATATTTAGTAAAGTCCCTGTATATCAAGTACAGGTCAGCAGATTCACATTTACTTTAATGGTGTTGTGTGGATGCCCATTGTGTTGATTTGCTTTTCTTTGGACCAAGCAAATCCTATTGATAGGAGTTTTGCCTTGCAGGCCAAGTAGGTCAAAAGTAACCTTTTAACACATGTTGGATTGTGCTTCTCTTGGAGCAGTACTGCTTTTGAATGCAAAATTCATGTACAGCTACATAAGCCCTAAACATACCTTAAAGCCTATGTCAACCCAAAAATAAACATTTAACATATCACATCTTACCGATCTAAATGTGGTGTCTGCAATAATTGTCTGTTTTAAGCTTTTTTCATTATTTTCACCTTATGATCCGGCCAGCAACACACTTCTTGTCTTAGGGTGGCTTCACTCTCTATAGCAGCAACAGAGACGCACTAGAAAAATTTAGATGGACTTGACTAAAGCCTAGTACACACTATGAGAAACTCGACAAACGACCTCCCAATATTGCACAAAGGTGCGTCATGATGAATGGTATTAACTTGTACGAAAATTCTCGAAGGACAAAGGCAAATGTAGACAAACATAGCTATGTACTAGCGTGGTACTAGTAGCTGTAGTGTAGGGTCATTGTTTGCTTCCAATCATGCACGTTTTTTTTCTATTCAGTTATGTCTGTATGATTACTGTACACAATGAAAATCAGACCTTGCATTCACAAACGATAAAAATTTTCTAGCTTGCACCTTTTTTTTTCATCATCCGTACAGTCGGAATTGGCTGCTGAAAGCACTACGCTAACAAACAGACAATCAACGAATCAGTCCTTGCACGAAAATGTTTGCATGATTTTTAATATCGTGTATGTGTGTGGGCCTTAAAAAATGTGGGCTAGAATTCCACCTTTATTCATTAAGCAGTTACAACTGTTTTTTTTATTGCTTTTGGGACTAAGGTTTGAGATAAATGACTAAAAACTGCATGTGCAGTTCAGTGTACATTTAATTGAAGGTTGTAAACAGGCAGGTATGTTTATTTTAATGAAGAAGAGACATGGGCATGCTTGCTCGCAATTTTTTTTTACAATGTAGGTTCCCCTTTAAGGACTGGTAAGCTGCAATATTTTAAATGTATACTCTTTTTTTGGGAAACACTTGAATATAAAGAAATTTTGTTTTTAAAAGCTGCAGTCCCCAAGTGAATATCTGACTAGAGGTTAACAATATATTGTATTGTTCTAAATTTCTGGAGCTTGTACGCCAATTGTCTGTACTGTGTGACTTTTTTCAATAAACATTTACTTGATTAAAAAAACAAAACAAAAGTTGCAGCCTGTAATATTTTGTTTAATAAAAGAGGGAATTTTAAAATTAAAGAGCGATTTCTCTCTTATTTTCATCTCATCCTAAAACCAAGCAACAGTACAATACAAGGTCTGCATATACTGCCCAGGCCCCCACGCAGTGTTAGTTGCTGTAAAAGCTACCTTACCTCCATATTCCGCTTTGCTCGGTGTGATACCACAGTCTTTACAGTGATATTCCTGGGGAATGCAGAGCAGGAGAAATCGCATTACAACACTCCAGTCTATTAAAAGAGTGTCTTTTTATGAAATTTCAGCGGCTCAGTACGCCACAGGATATTGCTAGAAGCAGGGGCAGACTGACCATTTGGAAACGCGGGCACTGCCCGAGGGCCCGGGGTCAGTGGGGGGCCCCATGAGATGCACCTGGTACCTTTTTCATAGGCTTTTTTGAGTTTGGGCAAGGACACAGGGGCCCCATGAGCCCTTATTGCCTGGGGGCCCCATGAGTTGTCAGTCTGCCCCTGGCCAGAAGTATCCTTACTCTCGACCTAGCAGCTGCAGGCAGATGGTGGGGCAGGTGGGGGTAAGGTAAGAATAAATCTAAAGAAAACCTTACATTTTACTGCAAGGTTTGCTTTAATAGCATACTATAATAAAAATCTAATTCCACTATTGATAACTGCTTTTACGACTGTTACTACTACATGTACTAATACTACCAGGGGCGGACTGACCATTTGGAAACTCGGGCACTGCCCGAGGGCCCGGGGTCAGTAGGGGGCCCCATGAGATGCCTCTGGTACCTTTTTCATAGGCTTTTTTGAGTTTGGGCAAGGACACAGGGACCCATGATGCCCTATTGCCCGGGGGCCCCATGGGTTGTCAGTCCGCCCCTGAATACTACTATATCTTTGCTCACACTTCCATTGTGAATATCTGACTACTACTTACTAGTATCACTTCTACTACTTCTACTACTACTACTATTTCTAAACATACCATAAGTACTTTTATTTCTACAGCTGCTATTAATGTGAAAATTATAAAAATAATAATAAAGTATACCCTTTTTCTAGGAGGAATTTCACAATGTTCATGTTTCCATAAGCACACGCAGAAATCAAAGGTGTTTTAAAAAAAAAAACGTCTTTCACATCCACAGGTACTCCTTCTTCAAAAGCCTTTTTCAAAGACTCCAGGTCTCCAGCCTTGGTGGCAAAGTTTATATTCGTGTACACCTTTTCTAGCTCATCCACATACCACCCAGTGTCATCTGTCAGGGGGTTTTGTGGTGGGTGGTCACAATCAAATCGATTAAGGTCAGTTAGATTATGAAATGTTTCAATCATAAAGTTGGGAGGGCCACCATCTTCCCGACGTGAAATGAGATGACTTGGCATTGTACATATTGGCACAGGAAGTGTTTTCTTCCCTTTCTTCCCCTTTTTCCCTTTCTTTCCTTTCTTTTTTTTAGGTCCATAAGAGGAGAGAAGAAAAGCTTTCTGTAGATACTTTGACCCTTTTAGAAACTCTTCAGCACTGATGTCTCCTCCACGTCCTTTCTCATGCAGATGAATAACATTGTCCAGTTCTTCTGTGGTCACTGGGGCTCCCTTCTCCAAGAGAACTGCAGCAAATTCCTCCCTGGAAATAATGCCATCCCCCTTATCCAACGCAGCAAATGATTCTCGAAGGACTGCCTGGTTTTCAAATGACCAGTCATGCAGTGTTATGGCCCAAGGTGGGTTGGGATTTTTAACTCCTGGCTTGGAATATTTTTTGAAGAGACGCATCGCTTTGCTCAGCTCCTTCATGGCAGACTTGAATCCACCCTCTTTGGCCACAGCTTTGGGAGTCAGAGCTTTTATATTTTTCCAGTTGGGATTACAACCTGCCATGTAAAATGTATTGGGTGAACTTACTGACCCTTAGTACAAAAACACAGATCATTGCTATCATTGATATAAAGCAGCACCTAATCACAAAAGCTGTTCATACTGTACACCCTTGCATATGGAAATTGGTATCATTGAGAATGTTTCACATAAATTTTTATAGCTGTGACAAAAATTTTGAAAACTTGAGATAAATTAGGGATGAAAGTATTTTTGTTTAAAAAAAAGGAAAAGAAGAGCAAAAGATTTGTTGAAATTATGTGTTTATGAGAGAGAGATAGGTACTTTAACAAAATCTTTCTTCTATTTAAAACGGAACTGAAACAGTGAACTACCACTTAATCAGTCCCTCCCCTCGCCTGCACTGCAGCTTTTTATGGGAGAGGGAGTGAGTACCTATTTTTTGTCTGTCCCCGCACTTACCTCCTCAGTCCTCGCCTAGGCAAGGATGATGTCAACTTGTCCCGTGTGCACCTCCCCCTGCCGCATCCAGGGATACTGTCACACATATATTTAAAGCTGCTGTTTTTTAATGTTCACAACACAGGGTGAAGTTCCACTTTAATTTTTATATTTGTTGATTCAGCTATAGCACACCCACACTCAAAAGTTAAAGATGGTAACGGTCTTGTTGGGATGGATAAGCTACACAAAAAAATAGTTTAAATACTTAGCTCACCTGGAAAAATGAAAATCTCCTACAGGAAGAAGCCTAGGCCTAGGCATTTAATCACATGATCTCTGTTGAAGGAGATCACATGACCAGCCTTAAAGACTCATAACCTCTCTACCTTGATATGTGTGAGTGGATGATAGTAGACTATTGTACAGTATTAGCCACAAATAATAACTTTATTAAGTTAGCCAAGATGGCCGGATCTAGGGGGGTGCTGGGATGATCTGTGCCCCCCGAATTTAGTTGTGCACCCCCAGGCTGCCCCTTGCCCATTGACATTGTGCCTGGCCTGCTGGACTCCCCACCCCTGCACTCCTGGCTGAAACAAAGGGGGGCAGCCTGGCACAGTAAATTACCAAAGTCCCAACAGGAGAAATGACAGTGGCAGAGAGCCATGAAGACATGTGAATTGTGCTGTGCTCTACCCACTCCTGTCAGAACAGCGATCCTCCATACAGCATATGACATGGAATCGCTCTCAGATTGGACTGTACCCGCCCCCTACCGACATTTACTGCTGCCGGGAGGTGAGCAGCGTTTGGAGAAGATAGGGGGTGGATAATCAAGCCGTGTACAGTCTGATCTGTGCCATCTATTGTATGTTCTGCTAGGAGGGGAAGAGCACAGTCCACATCCTCCCGGCTATAAATACCCACCTGTAAGTTCGAGATGGGAAGCTATTTGTGCTGGGTCAGTTATTTGGGGGGGGGAGGTGGGAAATTGGGCTAAGAGGGGGATTGGGGGGGTATTTGAGCCAGGAGGGGGGACTGGTGGGGTATTTATGCTAAGAGGGGGAATTTGGGGGGGAAGATTTGTGCTAGGAGGGTAGATTGGAGGGATTTGTGCTGGGAGTGAGGACTTGTGCTAGGAGGGGGTGGGGAAATTTGGGCTAAGGGGGGGGGGGATTGAGAGGGGGCTTGAGCTAAGAGGGGGAAACTGGGGGGATTTGTGCTGGGAGGGGGATCTGAGGGAAAAGATCTGTGCTGGGAAGGGGGATTTGGGAAGAGGATTTGTACTAGGAGGGGGATTTGGGGGTGAGGATTTGTGCTAGGAGGGGGGATTTGGGGGAGAGGATTTGTGCTGGGAAGGGTGATTTTTTTTGGGTGGGGGAGATTTGTGCAAGGAAGGGGAAATTGAGGTGATTTGAGCTAAGAGGGGGAGTGGGGGGGGGGTAAAGATTTGTGCTGAGAGAGGGGATTTGGACTGGGAGAAGGGGAATTTATGCATTTTTGTTTGAGGAGATATTTGTCTTGCAGAGGGAATTTATGCATAGGGGGTGAGTGTGCTTACTGCTGTTTTTTATGTGTTGCTCACACATTGGGGGTGGGCTCAGTTTGTCATCTTTGCTGTGGGTGCTAGATGACCTTGTCCCGGCACTCCCTGCACTACACACAGGGCACTCAACAAATTTCCTTCTTACCACACATCACATAGCTGAGATCGGATGCCTTTACAGACACAGCCTCAATCTGCACAGTGTGTACCTGGCTGCTATGTCACAGTTCTGACTCGTGAAACTCAGAGATTAGAATGGCAGTGCAGCTGCAGTAGCCTGCTACACAGTGTACAGATTGACCATGTGTCTGTAAGTGAATCCAATCTCAGTTATGAGCTATGTGGGGAGGAGGAGATCTGCTGAGTGCCCTGGCTCTGTGCAGTGTGGGAATGGAAGGAGGAACATTGCTAAGTGTCCTGTCAGCATTGACCATTGTTCTTTACCCTGCTAACCCTGCCCTAATGATCCCTGTACTTTGCCCTGTTGACCTCTGTCTTCTGCCCTGATAATGCTTGTGCTTCACCCTACTGACCTCTGTCATCTGCTCTTCTGACCCCTGACCTCTGCCCTACTGCCCCCTATCCTCTGCCCTACTGATCCCTGTCTTGTGCGCTGATAACGCTTGTTCTTCGCCCTGCTGACTCCTGTCATCTGCTCTGCTTACCTCTGTCCTCTGCCCTACCGATTCCTATCCTCTACCCTACTGACAAACTATACACTGCTTTACTGACTCTTCTACACTCCCCTGCTAATCTCTAATCCTCTGCCCTGCTGACCCCCTGTACACTGTCCTACTGACTCCTATACACTGCCCTGCTGACCTTGCATCCTCTGCCCCCCTGACATTTTGTATTGCACTCCCATATCAGACAGGCTAGATCTGGCACTGTTAGCCAATATAGGATATCACTTAAACTCCAAACTTTCTTTAAGAGCAAATGTTATAACACATTTTTAATATATACTTTACACAAAACTGTCTATTTTTAAAACATATGAATATTAAGTTTGTGAAAATTGAGAACAAAACGAATAGGTTCTTCAGGCTATTCACTCTTCTGAACAAATATTGTTTTAATTGGCAGTAGTAAAATACTAAAATACCATGGCCATTAGAAGGAACTGAATGCATAAAAGATACACATGTCATTGTAATAACAATTGCAAAGAAATAATTCTAGAGAACAGTAGAGGAAATTAGCAAATACACGTAACCATTGGTTACAATGAATAGCCTAAAGAACATTCCTTTTTGGCCCAATTCGCATAGGACAAATATACATACAGATTCGATGGACAAATCACTATGCAAATTTTTAATTAATAGACCCCTAAAAAGTCTCATATTGTTCTACATAAGACCAAAATAGTGATCTCTTTGTGAACTCATAATGAGATCTATATATATAGAAAAGTTAAATAATTTAAACTTGTACAATTAAAACATTACTACCCACCTCTTTGTCCAAGAAATTTGCAGCAATCAGCAAACCCCCCACCAGCAGCATGGTGAAGGGCTGTGTTACCATCCATGGCAATGATCCCAATATCCCCCTTGTAGGCAGACAGCACCATCAAGATCTATAACACAAGGCAAATGACGGCAGACTCACACTTTAATCATAATTCCTATTTCAGGCACTTTTTCCATTACATTTGAACATTTAATGTAGGTCTATAAATCATTAATGTTGTAAAACAGTCTTGTTCCACCTACCCTGTTCTCATAGGTTCACACAGGTTCTTAAAACATCAGTTGTGCCCAGTCTGTGTCCCATCTGGAGAGATTTCCTATCACTTCCTGAAATCTCCCTAATAGGAACAGAGATGCAATAAAGACTTGAGAGAGATTCTACACCTCCCCTAATATCTAAATAAAATATGTTTTGGCTGAAGTTGGGTTTAAGACCCCATTCACACTTGTGCAACTAGTCATCCGCTTTTGGACATCAAAGTTGCATGACAAGTCGTATCCTATGTTTTCCAGTAATAACCATTTATACATGTGCGACTTAAAGTTGCAGCAACTTCAAGGTAGTTCATGCACCACTTTGGTCCAACTTTTATGCAACGTGCGGGCCATAGACATCCATGATAACCCTCAAAAGTGGCACGAAAGTTGTAGCTGAATGTTTTACATGCAACAGTGGTTCTGACTTGCAAAGGGAAGTCATATCCAAGTTGCGTGAAAGTTGCACGAAGGTTGCACTCCAAAGCAGCGCAACTTTGGAATCGTACAAGAGTGAATGAAGCCTAAAGTTTGGGATGAACAGGCATTCTCACCTGAAAACAGAAAAGGTTGTACTCATTAAAGCAGTATTAAACCCAAAAACAAAAATATAATATATTGCAACTTTCCAAGCATTAGATGTGGTAGATGCATTTGTTTTCTTTTTTTTTATCCTCTGTTTTCACCTGGTGATCTGGCCAGTGAAACAACACCTGTATTACAATGTCCACACTCTGAATGGAGCACCACCAGAGACACCTTTGGACAGCAACATTGTCAGTCGGGATGAAGAGTATTGTTAGATGTACTAGCAGATTTAAATACACTAACAAATTTAAGCCAAACTTCAGCTCACAATTTTCAAGTTACAGTCCCAGGCTTTTTTGGGATAAAGGTTTTACATAAATAAATAAAAGCTGATAATTGTAAGCACCCCTGTCATTGTTAAATGGTTTGTCTCAACACCCTAAACTGCAACATCTACAAGACAGCAAGTTCTGTTGAAAGCCAACAGACTTTCTGGCTGGATTACAAGGTGAAAATAAAAGAAAGAAAGCCTTAATAAATGTTTGCTTTTGGGTTCAATATCTCTTTAAAACCAATATTGTTATGAACACAATACTGCCTTAATTTTCTACCATGGTTCAGAAAAGTCTGCTAATTCTAATGGTTTTGTGGAGGAAAACTACTCATATGCATGCCAATTATCAGCCAAATTAGGTTGCTTTGGACTTGATAAGGAGACATTTGTTCCAGAAGATGTATTAGAAGCAAGTCTCAACTTTTTTCAATGTTTATCTGTCTGAACACAGAGCAGTCAGGTGCCTGTGGTCATTATGCAACTCTATTTTCCCCCTTTTTCACATGGGCGTTCCGTACATCCATTTTTCATCTGTCCATTTACGGATGAAAAACAGACACCCATGTATTTCTATGGACTAGCGGATGTAAATGGATGATCATCCGTTTACATCCGTTAATGTCCATATCCGTTAAGATCTGTTTTTTTGAATGGAAGAAAAACATATCTTTCTTCCGTAAAAAAACCCAAAACGGACAAAAACGGAAGTAAATGGATGAAAACGATTGAAGAAACTGATGAAAAATGGATGTAAACTGATGAAAAAACTGATGTAAACTGAACTGATGAATAAAACGGAACACCTGTGTGAAAGGGGCCTAATGCTGGCCATACACTGACTGAACTTCGACCAGTTCAGCAGTAATTGGCCGATTTGCTGTTAGTGTGTGGTCGTCCCCGCTCAATAGAAGTTGACTGACTTCTGTCTAAGCAACAAATTAGAAGCATTATCTACATCGGCTGCTGCAGCCGATTCCGACTGTGGATTCGGCTGCTGTCAAAATATAATTTTTAGGCCAGGGAGATTTCACTGGCTGAACAACAAAAAAAAACTAACAGTGTATGGCCATCTTAAGAAAGTTTTTAACAGGAATGCCAATTGCATAGATTTGTGTATGGCCAAATCTCAATAATATTGCCTTCTCTGAACAAATACTGGATGAGGAATCTCTAATTCTCCCAGAATAGCCAACTGCGAAATGCAAACTTGCACAGCTGGTGCAAAAATGTAATCTCTGTGGAGTAAAAAAAAAAAAAAAATACCTCCAGGAAGCCACCTTTGGCAGCAAAATGTACAGCATGATATCGCTGATTGTCAATAGCGTTTACTTCTCCATCTTTCTCCAAAATACTGCGAACAACCTCCAGAGCTCCTTCCCTTGCTGCTTCCATTAGAGCCGTTCGACCGGTGTTCTAGAGATATAATAGAAGGTCATTTTTCTTTTATTTATTTTACATAAAAACATAGTTTTACAGACAACAAACCTTTAATTAAAGCTCCAACTTTACAACCTCTCCCCCCACCCCCACCCACACCTGAGTGCAATTTCACGACAGGTTATGCGTCGAATATCCAGGATCAGGCATTCCACGTGCTGAATGTTCACAAGAATGACTGCTGTGGGCTGGGATTTACCACAGCCAGGATCATCACTGATGGACCTACGGCCATCTTTGAAACATTTACACCATTCAAATGTCTTACTATGGCTGAGCGTCTCATCAAATCTGCCGGTTTCACACTTTCATTCACAAGACACTTCATCACCACACGCTGTTTCATGCACGTAATAACAAACAAATGACAAACTTGCCACTTACTACTGCATGTAGTACCGCCACGCTAGTATCCCTTTCTATACCTGTAAAAGTCCTGGTTTGACTTGAATGGGCCAAGTGTGTGTGTATACACTATATTGTTAAAAGTATTGGGCCAGCCCTCCAAATCATTGGATTCAGGTGTTCCAATCACCTCCATAGCCACAGCTGTATAAAATCAAGCAACTAGGAATGCTGACTGCTTCTACATACATTTGTGAAAGAATGGGTTACTCTCAGGAGCTCAGTGAATTCAAGCGTGGTACCGTGATAAGTTGCCACCTTTGCAATAAGTCCATCCGTGAAATTCCCTTGCTATTAAATATTCCACGGTTAACTGTTAGTGGTTTTATAACAAAGTGGAAGCAACTTGAAAGAACAGCAACTCAGCCACCAAGTGGTAGGCCACGTAAAATGACAGAGCGGGGTCAGCGCATGCTGAAGCGCACAGTGTGCAGAAGTCACCGGCTGTCTGCAGAGTCAATAGTTAAAGACCTCCAAACTTCGTGTGGCCTTCAGATTAGCACAATAGCAGTGCATAGAGAGCTTCATGGAATGGGTACCCATGGCCGAGCAGCTGCATCCAAGCCTTACATCACCACGTGCAATGCAAAGCATCGGATGCAGTAGTGTAAAGCACGGCACCACTGGACTCTAGAGCAGTGGGGATGTGCTCTCTGGAGCGACGAGTCACGCTTCTCTGTCTGGCAATCCGATGGACATGTCTGGGTTTGGCGGTTGTCAGGAGAACGGTACTTACTTGACTGCATTGTGACAAGTGTAAAGTTTGGTGGAGGGGGGATTATGGTGTAGGGTTGTTTTTTAGGGGTTGGGCTTGGCCCCTTAGTTCCAGTGAAGGGAACACTTAAGGCATCAGCATACCAAGACAGTTTGGACAATTTCATGCTCCCAACTTTGTGGGAACAGTTTGGGGATGGCCCCTTTCTGTTCCAACATAACTGTGCACCAGTGCACAAAGCAAGGTCCGTAAAGACATTGATGAGTGAGCTTGGGGTGGAGGAACTTGACTGGCCTGCACCTGACCTCAACCAAACAGAACACCTTTGGGATGAATTAAAGCAGAGACTGTGAGCCAGGTCTTCTTGTCCGACATCAGTGCCTGACCTCACAAATGAGCTTCTGGAAGAAGGTCAAACATTCCCATAGACACAATCCTAAACCTTGTGGACAGCCTTCCCAGAAACGTTGAAGCTGTTATAGCTGCAAGAGGTGGGCCAACTCAATATTGAACCCTACGGACTAAAACTGGGATGCCATTAAAGTTCATGTGCGTGTAAAGGCAGGCGTACTTTTGGCAATATAGTGTGTATATATATATTCCAAGTGTCTTCTGACTGGTTTGGTGATGTGTGATGTCATAGGTCCTTTCTCTTCTCCTCTGGCAATGGCAGTGGACAGTCCTTATTCTTGCACAGAACAGCATGCAACTGTTGACGTGTGTATGCCTGTTCGGTGTAGTAGTAGTTTGAGCCCGGTCCACAGAAACCCTCAGGGGTGTGTCAGTGAAAGAATGGGCTCAGAGGAAACCTTGATTCTAGGACTTATTCAACCCGGAAGACTGGTTATATCTAGTGGTGAAAAGGAATTACTGCTGGGAACAGCTCTAGAATGAAATGTTGCTTATTTATTTTTACCTTAACAGGTCTAGAGCAGTAAGAAGAACAGGCTGCGGGAAGACAGAACTAAATCTGAGGCACTGGTAAGCACTTGATTTTAAAGTCAACACCTACAGTATATGTAACTGCTGACTTTTAAACAAGAAAAAAACAAACTGCAGTTACTCTTATGTGTATTTGTTTTCTATGAAAAACCCCTTGGGAAAAGTGTCACGTGACTTGTTAAATTTAACATAATTACATTAAGCAATCTAATATTCAACCTTTAACTGAATTAAAACATAATTTCTCGCAGCTATATAATATGGCTGAGGAAGGAAAGTAATGGGTCCCTAAAGCTTACACCTTTATTATTTTTAATTAAGGTATCCAATAAAGGGCATCATTTAGATTCCAAACATTTTTAACAACTATTTAGTTAACTTAGTGATTTTTTATGTTTATATAATTTTGATTCCAAGTGATTGAAAATCACAGTTTAAAAGAGGTGGTGCTGTGGATGCTGTCTCACTTGAACACTCACACAATTTTGTGAGCAATAGGAACTCAATAAAGAATTTTCGAGGGTTCTGTTCTCACCAGCAACACTATCTTAATGGAGCCTGCATGTTCTCCATTGATGTAGGCTGTCTTCTGTTGTGTGTCTGTATGACTGTTATAGGGACAATAGAATAAAGTCTACTTCTGGTGCCGAGATTGATTTGTTTACTCCTACAATACAATATGAACACTGTAAGGCGATACGGATTACCTTGGCAGTATATAAATTAATCTTCTCAGATCGACCTTGCTGTGGTTGAACAGATTGTGTGTCTAAATGTCCCAGAGAGCTATGCTGGCTGCAGCACTGTGCACCTGATAGGCCACCCTTGCCACACAGGTCAAAAGGTAGAAACCAGAGTAAAAGTGAGCTACTGATTAAGCTCACAACTAACAACCCTGACCCATAAAACAAGCAATCTCCCAGAAGCAGTGGAAAATGCCACCCTAAAGGCAGGTAAGCACAATAAGCAGAGAATATGCAGGCTTTTTTTTTTTCAGTGAAGCCTCGATTGCATATTTTCACTATGTTATAGGTCTACTTAGTGATCATATGATTGAGAATCACTTCGAATGGTTCCCTTTTATTAAATATTTGGCTGCTTGCTGTCAAATTTATTAACGTGTCCTTAGCACGGGGCATCATGCTGGGTTGCATTAATAAACAGGATGCAGGTCGAAAGGGGTAAATAGGCATTTAAAAAACATAAATATTTTGTGTCACTGGGACTCCTGAATGTAGTAACATGATTGTTCATGTGGACCTGAGCTGTAAATGACAGTGGAAATTTAGATCCACCAGCTGTGCAAAGGGTTGATTGGGGTGACTCTCAAAGAGGAAGGAGTGGTTCATATATGTGTTTCCAGAACGTTATGTGTGCTGGGGAATGTTTTTCCAGATTGTGGGTGTCAATGGATTAAAAACAAAGATGAAATTTGAAGTTTCTATACTTTTTGTCATTATAGATTTCCTACAAAGGGTTACTTCAGAGGTTCAACAAACAAGCCAAGTTGACTTTTTCAGGAAGATTTAAGGTTTGCACATAAGTTCAGCTGCCTATATCGCACAATCTGCTGCACATTTCTAAATGTAGTTTTAAAAAAAGGCAGCCTCCGCTTATGCTTTTTTTTCATCAGATTCTTAGTTTGAGTCTTGTAGATTTACTCTAATATACTACAAATACAAACTGAAGTACATCTCGTTGTATACAGAGTTTAATTCAAACTTCTTACTGGATTGCAAGCATTGGGATTAGCCCCTCTTTCGAGCAATTTCAGACACATCTCTTTACATTCACGAGCCTGTTCACAAGCGACTAGGAGCACTGGAATTCCATTGTTAGAAGTGTTATTGGCATTGGCTCCACAATCCAGAAGTATCTGAAGACAGCGGAGGTGTCTTTTAGTGGGGGAGATGCAGTAGAACAAGACTCCTTGATAGAAAGAAAAATAACCATGATTATATTCAATTTGTAATCCAGTTATTATCACTTTTATTTAAAGAAAACAAAGATGTAACTATCAAACTGTAAAGGGTATATTGCTATAGAATTGCTACTGATCTATAACATAAATTGTAGGCAGATCCAATTCTTAATAATAGCTGTGGCATTGAGACCGGACCCAGCTGTATCAGTCATGTATACTTTCTGACTTTCTATGTCCATGCAGTATGAGATACTCTGCAGCACAGTGGCTAAATGGTTAGCACTTTCGCCTGGCAGCACTAGGGTCATTGGTTCAAATCCCAACCACGGCACCACCTGCCTGGAGTTTGCATGTTCTGCCTGTGTGGGTTTCCTCTGGGTGCTCTGGTTTCCTCCCACACTCCAAAGACATGCTGGTAGGTGAATTGGATCCTGTCTAAATTGTCCCTAGTATATGTATGTGAGTTAGGGACTTTAGATTGTATGCCCCTTGAGGGTTAGGGACTGATGTGAATGTACAATATATATGAAAAAATCTGTGTTAATTGATGGTGCTATATAAGTACCTCTAATAAATAAATCTATGAACATCACTTCCATTGATGAATTACTGGTCTGTGAGATTTCACAGGCCAGTAACTAGAAGAAAAACAGATTGTTGTAAGCAGCCTATTGAAAGAAAAGTGAGGTACAGCATTGCTCTTTTGTGCTCAAGCTGCTTGTTGATCATTGTGCAGGATGCAAATGCGCAAACGAGGGGAGGGAGGTTTTTTATTGTGGGAGAAAGCAAATAAATAAAGGTGAAGTATGTGCTATACAAAAAAAAATTTTTATACTTACCGATGTGGATGCAGTATCAAGCTGATGTTGCATCTGTCCCCCGCTGGCTCTACACTGAGAACTGAGTGATCAGACACCGCTGATCTCTCAATTCTCCCTGCACTCTGAGCAAAGAGCCAGGACTGTTTGTTTTCTGCTCTGTTCTGCTTACCCCCCAGAGCTCACTGTAGAGCTGGGCTGTGGAGGGAGTGGGAGTGGCTGATTCAGGCTCTCATTGGCTTGCTGAGAGGTTGATCCAGCTGCCAGTGGATCCCGACCATATGGACTGGGACTGGCTCTGTGACATCAGACAACAGCAGGTTTTAACCCGCTGTCGGCTGAAAATGGGTCACAGGAGTGCAGAATGAACTGCACTCTTGTGATCCAAATAAGCTTTGCCTATACTGATCCATAAAGTAGAAAACCTTTTAAAGTTTAACTGTACCTTTGCTTGTGCTTTAACTTTACCTTTTCTTGTACCTTTGCAGTGGGAGTCTGCTCTCACTGGTCCTTCACAGCAATAACCAAAAGTTTACTTAAAGCAGAACCCTGGGCAAAAACTTCTTTATATGTCCTTGCTGCTGATACTACCTTCACTGAATATGTCATCCATCTTCTGGTTCACTCTGTAGTTGCTCTCAATTAAGTTGATGATTTTCAAATAAAATCATTACTCCCCTGTGGTTTCTTGTTTGTAAGACCAGTGGCTGTTCACCTTCTATTTTCCCAGCCACTGGTCCTGGCAAATCCCTTCTGTAGTTCTTTCTCCAGGAAGCAAGGATGTAATTCAGACCCACTTGCAGTGGTGGGTGGACCGGGGCTATCAAACACATTCAACATGTAAAGGCCTAGTGTACCCGGCAACATTCACTACAATTCCTTGTGGTTGATGGGAACTGTAGTTTCCTTTTACTGCAGAGAGAGAGTACAGTGTATGATGTAATCCCTGTTGTTATACCTTCTCCTTGGCAGAGCAGATGCTGTTATCTTTTGAATTACAACGATGAGGTCATGCAAATTCAGTTAGACTTTTCTCCTAAATGGTATGGATTTTCAAAATTGTATTAACTGTTTAATGATTTTTGTAGGGGGGGTGTACTAATTGGTGATTTTTTTTGCCTATCCCAGAGTTCTTCTTTAAGGTTCTTAAGGCCCTGCGTGCACAATCCAACCATCCATCCAATCTTAGAGATTGGTGGGCAACTTAAATGGACCTTCACCTGAAACCAAAAGTTACCCTCAATCTTTTCCACCCCCTAGCCTCTAAACAAATAACTTTTGGTCAAAGTGCTTCTTTAACAGTACCCATTCCCACTTCTTCAATCCATGCCTAGGTAAGAATAACGTCACCTTGGACCCCCTTCCTCCCAACTGCCATCTTGGTTATGGGAGCTGGCTGTCACTTCCTAACGACTCACAGCCAACTGCACATGTGCAAGATTGGGGGTGCAGGTAGCCTTGTCCTGGGTTGTGTGATGGATGACTCACAGCCAGTTTCCCACTCTGCATTCGTGAGTTCAAGGGGTGCATGTAGCCTTGTACTGTACCCTTCTGGTATGTGTGGGTGTTATCCCAGGAGGCTACAGGACAAGGTTACCTGCATCACTCGACCTCGCTTTGGGGAACTGGTTGTGACTCATCAGGAAGTGACAGCCATCTCCCAGAAGCCAGATGACAGGGCCGAAAATCCGAAGCCCTGAGAAGAATCAGCTGTGGGGTAAGTATCTGTTTCTCAAACATCAGAAGCTACAGTATTCGTAGCTACTGACTTTAATTTTCCATGATGTTCTTAGCTGCGGAATGACAGCTATGCCTCTTAAACCTAAGACTTCCCTTACCTATCCTTGCTGCATTCCTATAGTAACAAGTAACACAACATGAAGACACATGAGATTAGAGCAGATCTTAAATGCGATACCTATAAAACGCACTAAAACTTTCATAAGAAAGTGGAAGAACAAGAATGGTTACCTACTCTGCCTTTCTCATAGCATTAGGTGGTGCTTTTTAATATGAAACAGAGGGCTGACTAATAAATTCACAAAATGCCCAGTATGCAGTGGGTAATAACTACCTTTTCCTTCTTTATTAACAATTTTCATGTCAGCCCCGGCTTCAGCAAGGACTTCCAGTACCAGGTCATGTCCTAATTCCGTTGCTTTCATGGCAGGGGTGCATCCCTTTAAGTCCTGTATATCAGGGTGAGCTCCAACGTTGAGCAGAAAGCTGCACATGTCAACATTGTTAGCTACAGCGGCGAGGTGCAGAGCACCTTCTCCGTATCGTGGCTCGGTGAAGTTTATGAGGTTCGGGACTCCAAGTTCAGTAAGTTTTTGTATCTGCCCTTTGTCTTGATCTCGAACACACTGGAGTACTTTGTAGATCTGTAATGTTTCCAGTCTTCCATCAGCTACAGCTGTCTCTGGCTCCATTTACTACAAGCGTTCCAGTTCTTTTCGAGCTGCAATAACAGCACATAGCATTAAGCAATCATATTACATTTATGCTGTTGAAGCCGGCACTAATACAAGTACCATTAGCAAAATAAGTACACTACAGTTATGCTTCAATCAGAGATGAAAATGCTGCATTTAAAGGTGAACTTCAGGCAAACAGCTTCAATACATACTGTATATACAATCTGTCTTAGCTGACATGAGTTTTGTCATTTTATTTCATTTATGATTCAAACACCCCCTGCCAGACAGCACAGTCTGGGTAATGTCCTCATCTTTCTCAACCTCAGTTAAAGGATATCTAAACCCTAAAATAAAATCCCATTTATTACAGCTTACCAGTCCTTAGATGTGGTGGCTGCACTAGTTGTTTTTTTTACTGGCTTTTCTTACCTGGTGATCCTGCCAGTAACACACTTCCTTCCTGGGGTGACAACACTTACAGTAATTTATCTGTTGAAAAACATTGTTGAAACCCAAGCCTGGGCTCCCGATATGGACTACAAACACCCCTCCCCCGCACACATACCCTTCTCATCTTTATTACATAGGAAGGAGGTGTCTTGTAGTTCATAGAAGACAGCAGATAGAGCTGTTACATTGTTGAGATACCAGTTCACCGCTCAAGAAGCAATAAGTACTCTGGAATCTAGGTAGGGTATTTTTTTTTTTCGTTCCCATACTTAAAGAAAATGTACTTAGTCTGGAAAAAAGAAAATGAATGCAGTGCTCACTGATAAGAGGCAATCGAGTAGTTTGCAGCCCTTACCCTTATTTCCCCTGGTGGGTCACAGCTATCACAGTTCAACATTTTTCCTTCCTTTCCTAGTGTATTACGTGAAGGAAATAAAAGGAAGCCAATATAAAGAAAAATGTACTTTCTTATACTAGATCAAGTTTAAAAGTAAATTACATCTTTATTTGTTTAACCACTTGTCTACCGGGCACTTTTATCCCCCTTCCTGCCCAGACCAATTATCAGCTTTTACGCTCTCATAATTTGAATGACAATTGTGCGGTCATGCAACACTATACTCAAACTAAATTTTTATCATTTTTTTTAACAAATAGAGCTTTCTTTTGGTGGTAGTTAATCACCACTGGTGTTTTTATTTTTTGCTAAACAAACAAAAAAGACCAAAATTTAAAAATAAAAAAGTTTTTCTTAGTTTCTGTTATAAGGTTTTATATATAAGTAATATTTCTCCTTCACTGATGGGCACTGATAGGCTGCATTGATGGGCACTAATAGGTTGCACTGATGAGCACTCTTAGGTGGCACTGATAGTTGGCAATGATGGCACTGTTAGGCGGCACTGATGGGCAACACTGATGGGCACTGTTAGGCGGCACTGATGGGCAACACTGATGGGCACTGATTGCCAGCACACATGGACACTGATGGGCACTATTGGCCACACTGATTGGGCGACACTGATGATCAGTGCCCTGATGATCAGTGTAGATGTCTCCCTGTGAAATGCCACTTACCGACTCTCCTCTCTTCACGTGCCATCAGCGTGAGGAGAGGACTGCCGATAACCAGCATTTCCTATTTACCCTGTGATCAGCTGTGATTGGGCACAGCTGGTTACATGGTAAAAGCGGCTGTGATTGGCCCGTTCCTTAGTCATGTGATTAGCTGTGTCCAAGGGGCACAGTGATCACAGATGGAGCACCCACCATGCTGTAGCCATCTTTTGGCTATAGCGTGTTCAGGAACTGGTTAAAGAATGAGTTCACCTTTGTAAAAAAATAAAAATGATTGCAGGGGAAAAAAATGTTAATTTATTATTTTTTTAACTAGGAGCCTGTAAAGCATTGCACCCACGATCAGTAGATTGCGGGTGCAAGCTCAGGCTCCTGCAGACTGTCAGTGTACCTGTCTGACTGTACCTCATACGGGCAGGCAGCTACACAATAACAGGAACCATCAATGAACTACCTACAGCGCTCAACATTGCCCTGGTAGTTCATTCAGAACTACACGCTCTCAGCCAAAAATAGTTCATTCATAAAACTGTTTTTAAAATTGTAGCAGTGGGTGCAGGGAGAGGATCCCTGACCTGATGTCACAACGGGCGATCTGGGGTAGGGTGTGGGGCTGCTGCAGCAGTAGCATGTTCCATGTTACACCCTGAATATGGGTGTAACATGTAACATGTTATAAAAGGGAAATTTATCCTTTACGTTCAGTCTGTATATAAATTGTTATGTATATAATAAAAAAAGAGTAAGCGCTAATCCAAAAAAAGCAGCTAAGCACTCTAAGCAACCAAAAAATACTTAAACAGAATAATATCAACAAAAGTGCAGCGCTAGCGCACTTTTGTTGATAATATAAATTGTTATAGTTATATGATTACAGTGAAATTACTATTAAAAATGTAGTGATTACGACTGTCATTGTTAATCCTTTGGATATTTTAGAGTAGTAGAGTATGACTGTTTTCACACTGAAACGTTTTTGTTGCGTTTTTACCGCACTAAAAAAAGGAAGCAAAAACGCAATCCCTTTAAATCTTATAGGACTCTCTGCACTGCTGAGGTTGTGGTGCATTTTGAAAAGTGTGGTTTTCAAAATTGCACCAAAACATAGGTCCCTACTGAAATGAATAGAAAAAACTAACAAAACATCAAAACCGTACCTGCACTGCGTTTTTACAGTCACATGTCCAAGTTTTACAGGTGCACGGATAATAGGCACCCAGAAAAGGCATCGGAAACACAGCAAAAATGTGTGAAAGAAGTTTGAAAACACATACAGTAAGTCATAAATAGGGGGAAGGTCCACTTAAAAGATAAATATGCAAAAGTGTCTCAAATATGTGACACAATAATTATATCGGCGATTAGGTACAGGTTCAGATATAAGCGTGTCAGGAATGCATGCAAAATTGCGCGCCTTCCTGACACAAACAGAAACACTCTGTCCTGTAGTAAACTTGTTAATGGCACCCCTAGGCATCTGCAAATGCACTCAGTTTGGTGTGTTTTTTGGAAAAGAGTCAGGGGAATTCTTTTCCACGTTTCTCGCACATATGAGGTATGTCCAGAAAGTAATGAGAATAATATTATAAAAATTATTTTACTGAAATATGTTACAATTGAACACTGTCTCCTTAAAAGTATGCACCTTGTGACTGTACACAACGCTCCCAGCAATTTTTCCATTCTTCATAGCATCCCTGGAAATCTTCAAGTGGGATGGCGTTCAGAGCCTGTCTAGTGGCTTTTTGAATGTTAACCACACTACCAAAATGGTGTCCTTTCAAACTGTTCTTCATCTTTGGAAATATGAAAAAGTGGCAAGGAGCCAAGTCGGGGCTGTAGGGAGGATGGGAAGAACCGTGAAGTGTTTTCCAGTCAAAGTACTTTGACTCGGTGCGTTGTGGTGATGAAAGATCCAGGTTGAGCCGATCTCAGGATACACACGAAGAACTCAGAAACATTCTGAACTTTGTGGGAGATCATACTCAGAACACCCAGGATTCATCTCCTGTTATCACTCAACTCAAAAAAAATCAGGCTCTTCTGATCAGGTAAATAAATGATCTTATCTTAAAGTGCAGTGCAGGGGAGAATGCGCAGCCGGCTCCCAAGATGGCCACTTAGAGCAGAGGCTCCATGATCATCCCCACGGCAACCCGGCTCAAAACCCGACAAACAGGACTCTGGCACATTAAAATGGTGGATCGGCACCCTGCACTCTCCCGCAGACATGCCCAAATGCCGTAAGTCTCCGGCTCAGCCACAGAGACTTATGGACTTCTACCCAGCACAAGATCACAGAATCCAAGATGGCGCTGGCGCCATCTAAAACAGGATACGAATCCCTGCAGTTGCAGACCACAACAGTTACAACCCGGATCCCACACTGGCAGTTCCTCTGTACGACGGGGACCCAGGTGAGGCCTCTCCTCTCTCACCCACACAACCCGCAGACCAGCAAAATCTAGGCCTAGGATTGAGGGCCCTGCAACTACCAAATATACATCTCCACAGATGCCTTATACTCCTACACTAATATATAATGTGTTGCGCTCCCAGTGACAATATCTTTGATGTATATATCTAATTAACCTTGCTATGCAAAATGATTTTCAGGTATTAAAAAATATGCAAAATCAAACTATGTGAGTGATTTAAAAAAAATATAAACCACTATAGTGTATATAAATTAGATAATAATAACCGCAAAACCAATGAATAGTGCATAGTGAACTAAAGTATATAACTGAAAATAATACACATCATGAATAGTGAAATACTCAAAAAAATTATATATATACTGCCAAATAATTGTGATATAAATGTCCTTTAAATACAGTGACTTTGTGCTTGAATAAATCTTGATTTGGTGACTTTTTGTGAATCTGTGACTTTCTTTGAATCCTCAATTGGTAAAGATGTATGCTCACCTCCTTGTTAGCCTGCAATTAGGCTATACACACTTGTGGTTCACCTCCTATGGAACCTGCTTAGATGGAATTCCTCTTTTGTGAATGGTAAGAACGTGGATATGCGTTATCCTCAGATTGCCCATGTGCGTTTTTCCATATGTGGGAACAAATTGCCAGACATGGTGTTTTATCCTTATAAAAAGGTTTCTCCTTTATTGCTTGCCAACAGGTACACTCACATATGTGATATGCGGTCTAGGATGAATTGCTCAGCTCTAATGATCCGCCAGCCGTCCTGCCATGCACCCGCCGTCTGTCCGATACTCCAGCTCTCTCCGAGTGACACCGCAGCCCCACCCCTACGCGTTACGCCACTGGTCACGTGGCTTCATCAGGGGGTTGTGATCACACAATTTGTTCCCACATATGGAAAAACGCACATGGGCAATCTGAGGATAACGCATATCCACGTTCTTACCATTCACAAAAGAGGAATTCCATCTAAGCAGGTTCCATAGGAGGTGAACCACATGTGTATAGCCTAATTGCAGGCTAACAAGGAGGTGAGCATAC